GAATACTTCATCACTAAGTTTGATCTCCCGACCAACTATCTTCCCGACACGGAGAGGATGAGGTACTCATACGAGCTATACCAACATGGTCGTATGAAGCAAAAATATTCGTGTGAGAGCGATGATGAATCCCCTGGGACGCTTGATGATATACAACGTGCAAAGCTCGCATCAGTTAGTTAGAATATGCCTACCTTTTGAAGGAGTACTGTTTGTCTTGTGTATGGAGAGTTGAACCATGTTGATACTATTTGGCATTATGTTTTGTTGCAATTTTTTTTTTTTTTTTTTTTTTTTTTACTTTTTGGAAAAAAAATGGCAGGGGCAAAAATGTCCAAGGGGGCGGTAAATAGTAATAGTGGGGGCGGTGAATAGTAATCCCCAAAAAGAAACTATATGAGGCTTCAGCACATTCACATCTGAGATTCTGATGACATAATACAGTACTGACCTTAACTAGCTCAGAATCCATTGCACTAATCTTTGATTTCAATTCCTCAATATCTTTCATAAGCTTTAAATTTGTCTCGTCTAAATCTTTCACCGGGTTCACCTCATCCTTGACCTTGACTAGGTAAGACTTCTCATCCTTTGGGAGAGCTGCCTTCATCTCATCCATAATCATAACTGATCTGAACTCTTCCACGTTTTTGAAACTTGTGATAGGCTCCAGTTTCTTAGTTACCTGGCAAGAGAGAGATTTTAACTTAAATAAGTTCTATATGTAGAGTTTTCCGTGAATTTAAAAAAAAAAAAAGAGCAATAGCTTTCATGCGCATAGAAAGAAATCTCACAACAGAGTCCAGAGTACAGATATTTTAGGGCATGTTTGGAAACACTTATGGAGAAGTCTATTTCAAGATGGAAAGTGACTTCTCAAGTAGTGTCCAATATAAAACTTTTTGTGTGAGTTACTTTTTAACAGTCAATTTTGTTATTTACACCAAACATCTTCTTATATAGGAAATGGACTTTTATAGTCAAAAGTCCATATACAAAAGTGCTTCCAAACATACACTTACTTACTAATTTCATTACACTTTCCAATGAAAAGGCAGTTAGAAGAATAACACATACGTTGTGTGATCAACAAGGTAAATAGCATGGATTCTTATCAAATTTTATTTTGTGTTGAATAAGGAATCAGTCGGCTCAATAGTGTCATTTATCAACTAAATTACAATGAATTGATACTGGTATTTCTCACCGTGTCATCATGAGGGAAATTTTCAACTCCATTGTGCAATTTCACTTTCGGGATGACAGTCTCATAGAATGGCTCTTGCTTAGTAGCTCCATTAAAAGGCAGCAAAACAGGTGAATGGACTTGTTTTGGACTAGAAGACTTGAAAGATGATTCTTGATTCAAAACTACATTAGCCAGTGGCTTTTCTGGATAATCGGGTGCAATACTAAGACTAACTCCGAGCTTGACCTCTTCAATATATTTTTCACACTCTTTTACGAACTGCAGAAGAAAAGAGAAGAATCCTTAATGAGAATGCACTATTCTCAACTAACAGGTCAGCATGCAAGGTAATGAGATTTGACAACATCTCAAAAATCCAACTTACTAAAGTTGATATCCTACCATGTCAGGTACAATGTCATCTTCTGTTGTTCCAAACGGTACCACAGTGCTCTGAATCAAGAATTTATCTTTGCATTGCATCTCATGGGGAGCTGAATTCTGGGCTTGCATGGTAACTGCACAAGATGGGTATGTCAGGAAATATTTAAAATTAAGCAAGTCCACTCACTACTGCTCGATAACTGGTCAACAAAGAAGTGAGACTCCAGCCAAATATTTACTACTGTGGCTTTATTCATTGTTGAAATTTAGTATCATTGAATCCAGATCGGCAACTATAGCGATGCAACATGCAATATTACAAAGAAAAACAGCAATTTTTACCCAACATCGATCAAAAGACTGAGATGAAGCACACTAGAAACTTATTGTACACAGAAGCAAACTTAAAATACCTATGAAATCACATGTTGATTTTGGCTTTATTATACCGGCATTAGGTCTCACGCAGTACTTCTTTGGAGATGTAGTCTTAACCTGAATAGTGATCATATATTCATTCCAATAATTTCTTCAGAAATAAGATACATAATTAAAAGTGTTCGACTAACCATGCTTATTTTAGAAGCAGACAGTAATCTTTTGTAACATAACAAAGGGCATGAGATAGAGCAACCACAAACCTTGAAAGCTACATATTGGTCAGTGACATTGGCAAGTTGCACTGCACATGAACTCTGTTTCTTCACTTCAACTATAGAAGTCAATTGGATAGTTAGACTACACGAAACAAACAGGATAGCCAAATGAAAAAAAAAAAAAAAAAAAAAACAATAGAAGATAGTATAGCATCTATGCTAAAGAAAATATATAATATTGAATCCTGTTCTAAGTGAGTACGATAAAGTCACAGATATTTAGTTTAGCATGCATGCTGAAAAAACATCTTGCTGCAACATGTGTATTTATGGCATCATTTAGACTAATTCAGTGAACCTTACATGCAAGACTAAGTCCCCATGAGTTGTTTCAAAAATTAATTCAGCCCACTATCTCAACTTCCAAACTTTCACCATTTTAGGTTATATCTTGAGAGCACTACATTAAAATGACATTGTACTTAAGCTAAAGAAATAAAACTATGATGTTGCAAGTGATTGTATCAAATTTTGAATATAATGATGTACCCTTTCACATAAGGCTTCTTCCTCTACTAACACAAAGTAACTCATAGCAAGATATTGCAATTCTCCTTCACATTAAATGAGCAAAAATTTTTCTAGGCAGCCACCTAGGTGCTAGGCACTCTAAACTGAGGCTATTACGTCTACATCACAAGAAAATAGCCACAGAAAAACAATTACCCGTACAGGCAGCCAAAATATCGGTGCTAGCCACATATTTAGAAACAGTTTACCTATTTTTTTCTCTAATGCTGCACCTAATTGGGAGCCTAGCAAATTTGTCAAACTCAATATTTAGACGAAAAAATACGGTAATGCTTCGCACTAGTACAAGGTTTATGTTTGAACATCAATACTGATGCAATAAGATACGCCCAATAAAACTGACGAATATCATAAGCGGAAAGATTAGGCATCACTCATCATAATTACCAAGGCAGAAAATTTCACTAATTACACTTACATAAGAACTTAAGTTCGCGAGGTTGAACCTCCACTATTTTAGTGTACATACTGCTCGCGTCCTGAAATTTTAACCACAAGAAGTCAACTGATTTCTGCAATGCACACCACTCTTACATTCTACAAAGATACCAAAATGGAACACCATAATAATCAATCCTTTCCGTTTTCCTTCTTTTTTTCGAATCGCCTACATAACGTGGATGGAACTCAATTTGAAATCTCCTCATCAAATTATTTCATACTTACATAAAACCAGAAAAGAAAAACAAATAAAAAAATGTAGCCATGTCGTCAACAATTGAAAGGGACATTTGGTCAACACACACTTATGGTAAAAGTTGTGAATACACACTAACGATCACATTATAAATTGAAAAAAGAGAAGTCATAATTTCAAAATCGCCACTTAATACATATGTATCCTCGGTAAGCATTATCTGTTAAATGAAACTACAGCGCATCCTGCCGCCGGTTGCTCTCTCCGTACAAGCACCGACATGACTCAACGGTCAAAAATCCCCTCAAATTCAAAACATCGAATTTATCAAATTATAACAGTTCAATCACGACGCACAACAAGCCGCAACAGCATCACCTATGAAAATTCTAGAAACCGTTTGCTTATGACAAACACACACACAAACGACGGCACAGAGAATCTAAGACGAAGAAACTTACCGGAAACAAGATGCTCAGCGAGAATCAGAGGTGAATCTTCACAGTAAGACGATCCAAATTCTGAATTTATTAAGAAAAAAAAACAGAGAAATGAGAGAGAGAGAGAGAGAGCGAGAAAGGTTGATCGAAGGGACATGGGGTGGATGCATGTAGCCTGGATTTTATGAAAGGGGTCAAAAGCTCTTTTACTATGAGAGAGAGAAAACAAGAGTAAAAAATAAGTGATAAAAGTTGCGGCTTTTGGCGTTTAAATTCCCTGATGATCTCTCTTCATTCCATCTCTTAGTACGAGCCATGTAAATGGGTCGGGCTGCAGGCGGGTTTTGACAAATCCAAACCCGACCCTTATATAATTTACTCTTCTCAAACTCAACCTATTACTCGGCTAGTAATCATTGGGTTCGGGTTGTGTTTTACCCGATGGATTAGCGGGTCTTCATCGGGTGAATGGATAACTCGAGTTTTTAAATTTAAGTTCTAGTCCGATTCATGTGAAAAATAAAATAAAATAATTTCTCAATTAATTATAATATAACAAACAATTTATTAACTAAGTTTGACAATAAAATACTATAATTTTTTTTTTTTAAATAAATAATGATATATAATAGTTATCTTTTATAGTTTAGCTAATAATATAATATTTAAAAATTAAGTATTTAAATTTTTTATTGTACAATTAGCAAAAATTGATTAAAAAAAGTCATAAATGTTAAAATAAAAATTTAACCATTAACTAAAAAAACACAGATTTATAAGATTTTGTTTTTGTTTTCACCAATAACTATAAAAAAAAAAACACAGATTTATAAGATTTTGTTTTTGTTTTCACCAATAACTATATAATATTTCTCCACGATTTTCAGTTCGTTTATAAAAATAATAATTATATTACATCACAGAGGATTCTTAAAAGCAGAGTGCTTGTGAGAGGGGAGAGGTTAAAAGCTCTGAAGAAGCAAATATTTCCTTATTTAAAACCTCAGATCCCTCTCCTAATCCAATCTTTAATTGTTGTGATCGACTCTCAGCACAAAAAACTCCCCTCTTGCGTCTGTTTGATTAGGTTCAAGCACAGCCCATTGAGTTTGCGAGGGATGGCGTGTGACGGAATATAGACAAACAGGATCCAATAAGAAGAAGAAGAAGAAGAAATTATCGGATCTCGACGAACTTCATCACGATAGCCATGTCGATTTCAGGTTATTTGTGCTCTTCGATATGGATTTGTAGCATTGAATCTTGCTTAGGGATTTTGTCTGTACTGTGTTGGTAGTTTTCTGAAGGGGAAAAAGGGGGTGAAGATTGATTGGTTCCTATTCAGTTTGTTTGGTTAGGAAACCCTAATAGGAAATCTGTATTTTGAGATGAATGCCGTTAGTGTGAGAATTTGAGTTGGTTTTTGTTGTCTTTTTTGCATTCGATTGTAAAAGTTAGAGTTTGGATAATAGACTGGGGAAGTGTTTCTAACAATTTTTGTATGGCCATATCCACATGGATTAGAAAATGGGCATATCATCATTCTGCTTATTAGGATTTACTGTGTTGAGCAACTCAAAGTTCTGATACTAGCACAAATCTGCATCTAAGAAGTATTAGTGTGTGTAATTGCTTTCTTAATGATATGATTATCCACATGGTTTAGCTCAGTACCAGTGGAGGTATTTGAATGTAGAGAATAATGATTTGCGCAATAAAACGTGAGGACATGTACGCTTTCAATTGATACGCGTATGTGGGTGATGTATTCAAATATGATTTTGTCTCTATAGATGGTGCGAGTTATAAAGGTTGCATTCATATCTTCATTTGAAGCTTTTGAAGATATTTATTTATTTATTTTTTCTTTATGACCCCTGCAAACTTAATTATTTGATTAATCAAATTAGGTAGGGAATAATTGAGGTCGACCGTCTAGGAGAATTATCCTTACTCATACATATAAAAATTATGAAGATCATTGCTGATAAAGAGCTTCATTTTTCTTAGCCTGGAAAATCTAAGCCTTTTTTTTCAATACTTTTATACTCTAGGTCCTTAAAAAAGTAGAAAAATGGGTTTCTATATAGTTTTTGTATTGAAGTAGATGTTACAGTTTGAAATTCTATCCAGATTATCGTTTTTAGGTTGTTAAGTTCCATGTTGCTGAACTCTATTTCCTTCAGGGATTTCCATATATGTTTGTGTCATCGACTTATATCTTCTTTTGCAGCACTTCGCGCAAAGCACCAACAAGACTTGGAAAACATGACTCTGACTTCACAACCTTTCAAGACATTAAAACTTTTCATTTTCGCTGTCAGACAGTATCTTAAACGGTCGATTGCATATCTTTTATCACATTTCGGTTTACTGGTGGTGTTGAGTGCTGCTGCTGTGATCCCCAGTGTACTACTAGTGACTGTTGATGGTCCACATGAGAAGGTAATTATTAAAATTGTCTTTTTTGTTTGTTTTACTAAATCTATCTTGATCGCAGTCAAATCTCTCGATGTTTATTTTGCATTAAAGATGAATTTTTTCTCTAATTGTAATTTTATTTTCATTTTATACCCTAAACAGTTTGGTGTTTTTGGGTTAATGATCGCATTGTAGTAATTCCACGCTTTCCTTTATTTGCAATGCAGCATGTTGAGGAAGTTTTACGTTATGTGCGATTTGGGCTGTGGTGGGTGGCCCTTGGTGTTGCGTCATCCATTGGACTTGGTAAGCAAATATTTTAATTTTCAACAAGCATGTGCTTTGGAAACTTTACCTTCTCGACTAATCCTTATGGAATAAACTTCTGGCTTAATACCTTGTCTGCATGAATTTTAAGAATGTTGTTTTTTCAGCAAGGATTTTTATGCTGAGCTGAATATTTTATTATGTAGTTTTGTTGCTTATCCATATGTAATTTGTATGACGTAAGAGCTTCCAATTGTCAAGGACACGTTTAGGGCAATTTCTCATGGCTACAATGATCTACACATTGTTCTCCTGTTTCCACTTACCAACAATCCTTTGCATATGATATCTGTTTAGCAACTAAAGGATGACGATGGTTTAGTTATGGCAGAGGATATTAGAATGGATGTTTCTATTTTTGAATTATTGAAATAATCAAGGTGAGTGCTTAGAAGTGAACATTGGACATTCCCTTTTGATGTCCCAGGCTCCCAACTAAGTGTTTAGTGCCTAACAGAAAAATATGAGAGGAAGAGAAATTGCAAGATTAGATTGTCTTGTGCTGCATTCACGCATTCCAACACATTGTATATGCACATATTTTGTAATCAAATTGACTGTTAGGTTGCACTTGGGTAGATATGGCCACCAGTTTGAACCGAATTGTCAAACCAGCAGTTTGGAATTGTGGTCAACCGAACCTAAACCAATGACCAAGGTTTCAACACCGGTCTGTTAACCGGAGGTTCAATTGTTTGGCGTTTCTTGACCATGTAAACCTTTGAACTGGAACTGGTGAAAACTGACGCTTTTTCGTGGTTGGCAAAAATTCAAAGTCTTAAACCAAAAATAAATAAATATATATTATTGTCTGCTATCGTTGTTGTTGTTGTTGTTGTTGTTGTTGTTATTAGAACCGCAAAACCGAACTGTGTAATATACTGTTCCAACAACTAGAGTGTTGGTTTTAAATCCAAGTGAAGCATTTGGTTTTTCAATGAGTGTTGCTTTTAGGTCCTATTAGCTTTCAGGTGTCTTGTCTGTTTTAATAATAATTTAAATGAAGTTTTTGTTTTAATTTCTCCAAATGTCCATCAGAACATGTAATCCAGTTATTACTATAACCACTTGAACCTCTTGAAGTATGTAAGCATTCTTTCCATTGCAATGTCTATACTGATTATACCTGGAACTCGTCTCATTGTCACTTGCTTTTACATAGGATCTGGATTGCACACTTTTGTACTCTATCTGGGACCTCACATTGCTTTGTTCACTATAAAAGCCATACAATGTGGCCGAGTAGACATCAAGAGTGCCCCGTATGACACGATACAATTGAAAAGTGGTCCTTCATGGCTTGGAAAAGATTGTGCCGAAATTGGGCCCCCTTTGTATCCATCTACGCATGGCGTAAGGATTCCCCTGAGTACCATATTGCCCCAGGTTCAGTTAGAGGCAATTTTGTGGGGCCTTGGTACTGCACTGGGTGAGCTCCCTCCATACTTCATTTCGAGAGCAGGTACAAACTTAGCTGCTTAAATTAATTTTCTTAGTTTTTCCTTTCCACCCC